TGCAACTTGAAAATGATAACTTACACTATAACCATGACTTAGAGGTCAAATTGTCCAAGTCATGAATACCAAAGTTTATATGACATACTAAACATGTTAAAGGTATTCCTAAGGTCCCACAAACATTTTATACATGGGTCACATGTAAATCCTAGCACATGTAAAGCATTTAGTAACAAACACATGTGATATAAGCAATCATAGAAATAAAATTTGAGCTGCTCATGCTCATGAATGATCAATGATGCTTGTGCTCATGCAATGCCAATGCTAAATGCATGCTTAACACCTAGGGTGTTACAGTACCCTTCGACCTCATGATCACCTTGGCTTCACTACTGCTGTTTTGGCTGAGCCCGTGACCTATCAGGAAGCTGCTACTCACCAAGAGTGGCAGCATGCTATGGCTGAGGAGATTGCTTCCCTTGAGCGTACTGGCACTTGGGATCTTGTTCCTTTACCACTTCATGTCACTTCTATCACTTGTAAGTGGGTGTACAAGGTAAAGACCCGCTCGGATGGCTTTCTTGAGCTCTACAAGGCTCATCTTGTGGCGCGCGCTTCCAACAGGAGCAAGGTCGTGACTATGAGGAGACCTTCGCTCCTGTCGCTCACATAACTACTGTTCGGACTCTTCTTGCAATTGCTTCTGTTCGTCAGTGGTCGATTTCTCAGTTAGATGTCAAGAACGCCTTCCTAAATGGCGAGCTCCGTGAGGAAGTCTATATGCAGCCACCTCCAGGGTACTCCATTCTGGATGGGATGGTTTGTCGGTTGCGTCATTCCCTCTATGGTCTTAAGCAAGCTCCTCGTGTTTGGTTCAAGCGTTTCTCCTCTGTTGTCATCGATGTTGGATTCAAGCCTAGTGACCATGATCCTGCTCTCTTTGTTCACACTTCTCCTCGTGGTCGCACACTCCTCTATGTCAATGACATGATCATCACGGGTGACGACTCTCAGTTCATTGCCTTTGTGAAGCAGCGTCTCAATGAGACATCCCTCATGTCTGATTTAGGTCCTCTTCGTTACTTCCTTGGTCTTGAGGTCACCTCCACATCTGATGGTATTTTTCTCTCAGGAGAAGTACACTCAGGACCTCATTTCTCGTTCTGGTCTCACTGATCACTGCACTATTGACACTCCTATGGAGCTTAGTGTTCACCTCCGACCCACTAACGATGCACCACTTGCTAATCCCACTCGCTATCCCCAGCTTGTTGGGAGCCTTGTCTATCTTGGGATCACCCGTCCTGATATTACTCACTCTGTTCATATCTTGAGTTAGTTTGTCTCGGCTCCTACCCAGCTCCACTATGCTCACCTACTTTGTGTTCTGCGATACCTTCGTGGAACCATCTCCCACCGCCTTTTCTTCCCTCGCTCTAGCTCTCTCCAGCTTCAGGTGTACTCTAACGCGACCTGGGCGAGTGATCCCGCTGATCACTACTCTCTCTCAGCTTACTGTGTTTTCCTTGGCTCCTCCTTAATTGCCTAGAAAACCAAGAAGCAGACTGCAGTTTCCCACTCGAGTGCTGAGGCTGAGCTGCGTGCTATGGCGACTGTGACTGTAGAGGTGACATGGCTATGATGGCTTCTTGAGGATTTTGGTGTGCCTGCCACTACACCCACTCCTCTTTCTACTGACAGCACCACCGGTGTGATCAGTATTGCTCGGGGTCCGGTCAAGCATGAGCTCACCAAACACATTGGCATTGATGCTTCCTACATGAGATCGCAGGTGCGTGATCAGGTTGTGTCCCTCCACCACATGCCTTAAGAGGTTCAGCTAGTCGATTTCTTCACCAAGGCACAGACACGGGCCCATCATAGATTCTTGCTCTCCAAACTCAGTGTTGTAGATCCACCATGAGTTTGAGAGGGGTGTTAGATGTATAGATGTACTTTGTATTTTCCCTCTACTTGGAGGGGTTCTTTGCATATGTACACACATGTATACTTGCCCCTTTGGGCCTGGAATAGATCAATTGGCCAATTCTAATAGGTGCAATGGAGTTGCTAGTTGGGTCATTTTTCGACCAAAGTTGGTTGTCTGATCAAGTGGTTGTTAGTTGTCGCTTGTCGGTCGTTGAACCGAAGTCATCGAAGTTGTTTGGGATGAGTGGTGTACTCTCCCTAGTTGTGTGGTTTTTGGGCCCGATTTTCACTCAAAAAACTAGGTCGGCACTTGCCTTTTATTTTTTTGTCTAATAAAAATAGCGGCAACGTTCTTGCGGTCCCTTCGAGAAAAGAAAATTCATACCATATGTGACCAACTGATGAAATAATATCCAAGGATATCCTATCCCAAAGGTAATTGATTTGTTTTTCTCTGTTCAGGGGTAACAGGCTGGCAACCTGAAAGTTTTGGCCAGATACAATACCCAAAAAAAAATTGCCACCATCAGCACCTGCAGGGTTTTTTTTTTATAATGATGGCCTAGGTCCAGTGTTTTTTTATGTTTCCAGTTTTGAATCGATGCGCCAGACTGAATAAGCTAACTGCACGCTGCACAGCATGAATAAGTGCAGAAAACAAGCAATCCGAAATCAGGCTAGTCACTACCAGAAATAGACGCCATGGTAGTCTACCACCTTACTGGGGCACGCACTAGCCGATGGGATTGCTTCCACAAAATTGAGATAAACATGCTCAATAAATCTCAAGTACCATGCCCACTGCAAGTAATTTACAGGCACAAGATAAACCAAAGTAACCGCACTAAATCAGGGATTCAAATCTGCCATGTCATATTGAACATTTACTAGGTATATGACCAATAGATGAACTAATATCCAAAGATTCAGAATAATCTATCAAAAAGGTAATTGAATTGCTTGCCTGTTCAGCGGTAACAAGCTGCTAACTTGTAAGTTCTGGCCAGACACAGCAGCAACTGGATGGTTTTTTATGCAGCCTAGGTATGATATTTTTTTATGTTTCCAGTTTTGAATCCATGCACTAGACTGAACAAACTGATTGCACACTGCACATCATGCATAAGAGCAGAAACCAAGCGATCCAAAACCACACATGTACAAGATAAAAGTGATGAAAGATTGAAAGCAATACCTTGATCAGCAGGAAGCACGGCGAAGAAACCTGAGGCCAGCCCACGGATGGCAGGGCCAACAACCGCAGTGCATCAAACACCAGAGAAGTGCCTGAGACAGCAGCCCCTGCAACCTCAGGAGAAAAAAAAATGAAAACCATATACCACATATACCATCAATCATGCAGGGCAGCAACTTTCGGTCTGCGCAAAACAAATTCTGACCACCTGAGTCCTGTATGATGAATCATAATAGCCATAAAAATATACCAGAATCAACAAGGTATATGCTATGTAAAATTAGTTTATACTTGCACACACACCTTTTTTTTTCTGTAACTTGCATGAGAGCTGTGAAGGGCGGGACTGGTGCAAGCGGTAGAGTCTTACCGCCTGTGACCGGAAGGTCCCGGGTTCGAGTCGCGGTCTCCTCGCATTGCACAAGCGAGGGTAAGGCTTGCCACTGACACCCTTTCCCAGACCCCGCACAGAGCGGGAGCTCTCTGCACTGAGTACGCCCTTTTTTTAACTTGCATGAGAGCTGTGTATCTTTGTATTTATATAAGAAAGAAAAGATTGACCCAAGTACAAGCCTCACCGGAATGGGAGGATCAGATCCACCTCCACCAAAACAACAGAACTACATCTGTGCCAATGAACAAAAACACACAACCCAACCACACACTACACCTGAAACTAATCCAGCCAGAGGACTCCAAAACAAACAAACACATACTATTGATTCCACCATTTGAAGAAGAACAAATAAATGAACGTTAACCTTATGGGACAACATAAACTTCTGCTGTCGTGTGAAGAGCAGTAGATTGTTTGTATGAAATAAATGGAAATACCAAAGATCAATGGTTGACTCAATTATGGTGACGTCTATTTTACTTAAATTGCACATCATCGGCTGACTGCCAGAGTTTTAGACCAAAAATACAAAACTTCTTTGCAGCATATGCATGTCCATTGAAATGGCTATGTCATTAGGTGTTGTGTTGTCTTTCATTGGTATAGAATTTGCTTCAAACAGATAAATTTGCCAGATAAGGTATCACCCAAAGAATATAAGATTCTTTTCTTAACCACTCAAAAAGAATTACTGAACCAAACAAAAGAGATTAACAAACAGGTCGCTCTCCAGTATGCTGCAAGCCTGCAACATCTTCATTCTGTGACTGCATACTGTATGTCCATCCAACTGAGGGCATCTCTGTTCTGAACAAAATCAATAACCACCAACAGTCCAAAGAGGACACAGTTAGTATTATACTCCACAGAATTTAACTGTTCCAAAAGTTCTATGCAGTATAGCAAACAGAGGCAATTTACTTGAAATAATTAAAGCTATAATTACCTTGTGTTGGAAATACCGTATACTTGTAGTCACCGAGAGTTCATTATAACACCTCAAAACAATATGGTGAAAGGTGAAGTTTGAAACCATGGAAGTTATGGAGGGATCACTTCCTGCACATTTGGGGCTGGTACAATCTGGCAACTAAAGGTCATGAATGCAGCAGCCTGTGCCAAGTAGTGACCATCTCTGTTTCGGCGTCGCATAGAGGCCTAGGTGTCGCCTAGGAGTCCGGGCGGACCCAGCTCGCCTTGGCAACCTAGTTATGCCTTGGCAACCTAGGTGATGAGGCGTACCATCAGCCCTTGTTGTTCATTGACGCCCAATAAACATTTCGCTTGATGGTGACATGGCTTGCGGTGCACTCTAACATTGCCAGCCTATGGAGCCTCAGGGAACTGATTTATAGGAGCAGCTCATTTCTCAAGATAACAAAGTTCTGGTTTCCTTCCTGTGGAGCATGATGCACCGATAGAGTAGTTAGGTGCTTCATCATACATCTTCATAAAGGATCATCTACTCAATCCACACTGCATTGTTCATTTCACAGGATCACCCAGTCAGGTTGCAGATCTTTTCTCCTTGGATTAAGACCGCAACAGCCTAGCAATATACAATGCTGATCGGACTTTCCTCAAATCATTTTTAAACCCTGCACTACGAAGCCCAGAAATGACAGCACGCTTTGCAGATGCAAGAACATTGTTGCCTTCATGTAAGCAGATCCGCAAGAACTTGGATGCCATATGGTATCTACCCACCTTACATAGACCATGGACTAGTGATGTGTAAGTAAAATTATCTTTTAGCTTCATGCTGTGCAGTACTTTGATGGCTGCATCAACCTCATGAGATTTGCATAGCGCATCAATAAAGCAATTATATGCAACCACATTTGATTGCATTCCCATCATCTCCATGGACCATACCTGTTTCTCGGCAGCCTCGATTTGGCCCATCTTGCAGAGACCATTGACCAAAATTGAGAATGTGTACTCATCGCTCTCCAGACCACCTTCTTCCATCATGTTCAACAGCTCAAACGCGTCATCCAGCTTCCCTTCTTGGCATCGCAGGTGAATCAGAGTGTTGTAGCATGCATTGTCAAATGTGGAACCACTTTGTATCATGAGCTCACAATAGGTATTGGCTTCTTGCATCCGGCCCTTTTTGACAAGCGCACTGATCACTGTCGTGTATGGGAAGGCATCTGAAATGTACCCTCCTTCAAGCAGCGACAAGAATGTCTCCAATCCTTGCTCAAACCTGCCATACCTAAAGCAGCACTTCATAACTGTTGTGTATGTGACAGCGTTAGGGGCATGCTCGGTCCTCCCCAGCTCCTTAAGTACCATGCGGGCATAGCCCACCTTGCCTGACTTGCATAGCCCGTTGATTATTGTATTGTAAGTCACAATGCCCACGGGAAGCCCCGCCCTCTCGAGGTACCTGAACATCCTGTAAGCATTTGTCGCATGGCCGGCCTTGAACAGCCCGTCCAGAAGCGTGTTGTACGTCGTGGCACATGGCGCCACGCCCTTCTCGGCCATATCGGCAAACACCCGGTAGGCATGCTCCGGGTGGCCGGACCGGAACAGACAGTGCATGAGGGCATTGTAGCTCCACGAATCGGGGGCGACCCCCGACCTCAGCATTTCGTCGAACAGGTCGAGGGCGCGCACGGTGAGCCCGCTGCGGTCGGCGACCGTGATGAGGGAGTTGTAGGTGACGGCGTCGGGCCTCACCCCGGCCTCCCGCATCCGGTGCACGACGGCTAGCCCCGCGTCGAGTCCGGCGACCCGGCAGTGCGCGGCGAGGAGGGTGTTGTAGGCGACGACATCCGGGGGCAGGCCGAGGCGGATGGCGTCGACGAGGACGGACTCCGCGCGGTCGAGCCAGCCGCCCCGGCAGAGCGCAGCGAGGCCGACGTTCATCAGCCGCGTGGACAGGGCCAGCTGCGCCCGGGACCGGACCATGGTTCCGCTCCCTCCTTTCCCCCGCCGCCGCGAGACTCTCTTCCGGGCTCGGCTGCGCTCCGCTTGCTACCGCGACTCCCATACAGCTCCCTCGCTGTTTGCTGGTTCGCTATACGAGCAAGGCGGACGCCTTATCATGGAGAAACAGCCCAGCTGCACAAGGCCGCGGGAAGGTGACTCAGTGGCGCCGCCGCCGGGTGGTAAACTGGGGAATGCGCCGACCGCGCGCGAGAGAGGGGATGACTGCTAGTGGGCCCCGCGTGTCATTGAAAGTAAGCAGAACTGCTGTGCCCTACCTGTCAGTGGGTAGTAGAGACTAGGAGTAATAATCGTTACTGTACATCATTATGCCAAGTCCATGCCTTTTCATGACATTTTCGAGAGAATCCTTTAATCACAATACATTTCTTTTATAAAAAAATTGGGATGACAACAATGATATCTGGATTCTCTGGTACCATTGATCTTCACACCAAAGCTTTAAAATGTAACTATGTTACAAAACAAGTTTGTTCGTGACACAACAAATATCTGCGAATACAATGAACAAATCGGCGACGGTATACAGTGAGTGAAATCAGCAGGATAGGTACGCAAAGAAAATGGAAGACGAAAGAATAAAAAAATACAAAATTATACAGGCGCGTAAGATCCACACGGTCCAAATCGACCTCACTGCGCTTTCATGGCTTTCTCCTTGCACAGCTGGTGCCACTCCTGCAGCACGGCAGCCTGGAGAGCGCGGTGCTCGGCCTCTTCCGCGGTGAGCTTGGAGAGCGTCGAGGGGCCCTTGGGGTTTCCAAACCCATCTAGTTCCTCGCTCTGCTTTCGCTCCTCTTCCTCCTCTTGCTCGGTCTTCGCGGGCGGGACCTTTGGCTTGGCTGCCTTGAGCAGGGCGATCCTCTCCATGGAGATCTTCAGCCGCTCTGCGGCCGCACTCTTCACCTCATCCTCGGGCATGTATTCCACAGCACCGTCGGTGATATCATCCAGCCAGCCCTGGAGATCAGATTCGATCTCTCTCGTGATGGATTCATCGGATGCACGCATAACGAATTTGCAGATCATTGTGGTGGTCTCGTCACCCAAATCAACGTTCCGGCTGACTTCACTTGCCCCAAATATCATCATGCCCACAAACCCACCAAACCATGTCTTTGCTGCATAACATAACTGTAGGAGATGTAAGTTGTTAGTCATCACTCAAATGTTTACTCTGGTTCAAAAAAAAACTCAAATGTTTACTAGCTATGAATAGGAAACAAATAATGCACCATTTGGTGCCTTTTAAGTGATACAGCATATCAATGGTTACCTGGAACCCAGCTACCGTCCGGATGAAATGGGAGCAGACTTGATGGAAGGGCTTAGAAGAGATTGACTTCAATCCACTGAGGAAGGGAGAGCTGTCATACTGCTGAGCAGCGGTGGCCTTGAAACCACTGCCTTCGTATGTGTATGTGCCAGTGCATTCCACCATGGCTGGCAGGCTAGGCCATAGCCGAAAATACTCAACTGGAGAGCATTCTAATGGTAGTAGAAGCTCGGCGAGAGGGAACTTGTAGGGTTGGCACCGCAAAACAACTGGTTCCCCAAGCTCAGGCCGAAGTGAGCGCTTCTGCCGCATCATCTGTGAATCCTCTTCTGCATAATCTCCTTCATAGTCTGCAGATCCACCACTTCCATAAAACGGGTAATACAAAACTTGAACCCAGAGGGAGCATCTCTCAAAATGCGAAACTCCAACAGTCACACTACTTTGGACCGGATCCTGGAGAGTTAAAAAGGCATTAGGTGATCAGTAATGTCAAGCATACAATTCTACAGTAAGATTTTAGTTTCTAAATAGATTAATGTTTGTTTCATGTTGGACATAACCTATATAGAAACAAGATATGAAACCCATTATGTCTGATGGTTATTCCAGGCAATAGTAGTAAATAGAAGGCAAGGGAGAGAAACAAATGTCAGAACTCAAATATTAAAAATCAATGTAAACAGCGCTGGATTTCAGTCTTAACTGGCATATTTTCCCCAGTGGATTACAAAATATTGAGCTTTCAACTGGATGCTGGATAGTCAGATACATGGGTTGTTCCAGTATACAAATTAAGGCATAGAAAGGTCGTAATGTTTACTAACTAACAAAAAACATCTCACACTAAACTATATTCAAATCATATTTTCATAGGAAAATGTAATCAGTAGACAAAAAAATTGTTGAAGTTCTTTCTTCAAAAAAAGAATTGTAAGTCACCTGGGAAACAAGATTCCGAAGGTGACGAACAGTGCGAGAGAAACCATCCATATAATACAGTGCTCCAGAGAGGCCAACACGGATGTCCACCCTGTTGAGTTCCAGCTCGGTCAAATTTAAAATCTGCAACAGCGCACACTAGTCAAAAGACATGATAATATAGTTCATAATCAAATAATTCGACCTTTGAGCAAAGCAACATGTGAAGAATCATTCATAGTTGTTTTAGTTAATACTATATCAGATGCAGGACATCAAGGTCACTTTCTTTTGAAGTTCGTCTACTTGTATGTGAACATTAATCATATCAACTAGTTCCAGTACTTTTGTCTATTTGTATAAGAACATTCATTCTTAATAAAACTAATGTAGCAGCAAGTAAGTAAAACAGCTTCTTTTATTAAAATTTCCTTTAATGTTAAACATGAACATTAGAATAATTAAATTCAGAATTAGAATGTGAGGTCCCAAAGAAGCATTAGCAGTAACCGTGACTGAAAAGTATATTTCAAGTTAATAGTATAGAGAAAGATGCATCAATCAGGCCATACCTTTAGATGTAGAGTGATTCTGCCATCAGTTGGATCTGCCAAATGATATGCATCGATGTAGCACGGATCACTGCTGCCAGTCAAAGTACAGGCTTTTGGAAGCTCTTTATGCAAGGCACCAATTCCCTTTGTTTGTAGGAGAGTTAATTGACTGGGATTCGGCCTCCAAAGCTCCCGAATGGCCTTATGAACTAATCCCTCCAATTTTCTATCTTGGGCAGCGGACGCCTCTGAAAATTGAACTGTAAGTTTGTGGTGACTAAATGGATAATCCCCTGTAGCATCACCTACACCAACCCACCTGAAACAATGGAAAGTATAACATTGTCATTTCCCTGTGCAAACAGTCAAAACACTATGGTACACAAGTGACAAAATTAGTAACTTAAGTATAGAAATGCACTCACCTGTTATCGGGATGGTTTGTTACGTATTTTATTACTTGCAACACATAACGTGATTGATGCTTGGTGACAGAATCAGCTGAAGTACTTGCCCTAAATTCTTCCAGTTCTTTAGTGAGAAGTTGCCCTGCTCTTGCATTTCTTGCTCCCAAACGTTGAGCACAAATTAGGACAGCCTGCACATCTTGTATCCTATTTGATGTAGTAGCAGATGAATCGGTGTTGAATAATATCTTGTGCATGTTAGATATGATAATATTCAGTGGATCTTCTGGGTCATCAGCTAAAAGGGGATCCAGACCTTCAAGATCAAAGTGTTCAGAAATTGCCCATATCAAGCGTGAAGATATACATGGAGTGTGAACCTGGAAAGATACAGTTAATCAAATTTAATAATCTTGGACCATTCTGAAAAAGAAAACAAAGAGCATGGATTTTGTTTGTATTCACTGTTTAAAGAGTCAGCACTGGCCTAGGCGCTAGTAGGTGCCAGCCGAGTACCCACCTAGCACCAAGTGCTTTTTCAAACACTGCTTTTATTAGGAAAGCAGCTTTAAGAAATGATGCAGTTTTAGTGTTTACCAGGAAAGAAGAAGCATAGTAAAAACAGGCATAATCAGATCTAAACAAGGTAAAACTTCGGCAAAGCAGAAGCATTTATCTATCTCTATCCTAAATAAGATCCAAAGACTTGTTATAAAAAAGATGTCTATGGGTTCAAGTTTTACAAGAGTCAGATATATGCAACAAGGAAAGAGTATAAACTATGGGGAAAAAGATGCCATATGTGCTATGCTAAGAGTAAAGAACACAGAAGTTAATGCTAAAACATTGTTTAGTTGATAACTCAAGTAAGAACAAATAAAGAACTATGTGACATCATGAGAAAAACAGGATCACTCACGCCATTGAGTTGTCAAACAGCAATGAAAAAACAGTCTTCTTAGATTTCAACTTGTATTTAGGAACACAGGAAGGTATAATTAAAATTTAACATTCAGGAATAAAAGAAGGATCACAACCTCGCGAAGGTCCCTGATAAGCTGTAGCTGCAAATTTCTAAGCCGGGTCTCATTCAGAATCTGATCTTGAGATGCACCAGCTTTAATTGTCTTCACACCGCCTCTGGTGTCGTATATATGACAAAGCCTCACAAGCAACTTTAGATAGCAATCAATTGCATAGGTACGGCCATCACAATCCCAAAGAACACATGGCCTGCAAACTTCCACCACATCCAAAGCAGGTTCTGTCCAATTAAGGGCACCATAACCAGTTCCATAGGCTAACGCTCCTATAACTCTGCTCTCTGTCCCAGAATTCTTCAACTCTGGTAGTGGAAGAGATAGCTGGAAACAACTTTCGACCAGGGAAGCCACTAGCTCTTCTCTGAACAAGTTTTTGCTTGTTACACTGTTTAGATCTTCCTTCACCCTCACATCCTCAAAGAGTGATATCACATCTGTTCCTGGAACAGGCTTCTGACCTCTTCGAACACTCTCCTTTGCAAAAAGATCAACACAAAGAGCAGTCCGACAAATACATGCCAAAGCATGCATACGATCTGATTCTGCTCTCAAGTTTCTCACCATCTGAAGCAGTCTTTTGAACAGAGAGACCTGTGTCATAGCACATGCCCACGTAAATACATCTTGAACATAAATCGCAATATTGTCCACTAAATTAAAAGTTATTGCTCCAAACATAGCAACATATCTATCCAGTAGTATTGCAGAGAAGTAAAGAAACTAGTAGAATTCATCAATAGCTTTATCTTTTCTACAGTCAGATTCAATCATAAAATGGCCCAGTGAAAGAATAATCCAAAATTATGAGATCTAAATGTCAAATACTTAAATTTAATTCAACAGCAAGCGTACAACATTGTATCATTTATGGTCTCAAGTTGAAGGACTTATCACAAAATGACCAAATTACAGATCATTGCACAACCTATAAGAATACATTAGTGTCGAGGATTCTAACTATGGTTATGTTAATACAATTATAATGAAAAATCAGAAATAAACACAATTAAAAAAAGTTATGATATGCATACAGTGCATAAATCATTAGTTTACGTGTGGGAAATACTTTATTTGGTTGTATAGAGTTTGGAGTTTGGACACCCAGATAGGACATGGGCCCCTTGTATTTTCTACTCTCAATGACTGAGTCTGAAAGAGAATCACTAATTCACTAGATGACACACATTTGACTGAACTAAATAGAAAAGAAGCATAATTTAACAACAATGCAGGAAATCAAGTTCTAGTTAATGTAGATAGACAACAATAAGTGCAGAGAGGTCCAAAAGGAACTAATTTGTCATTCATTTGCCAATTTTATACAATGCTTAAAAAAATAAACTGGTTTTCAAAGGTTGAGATAAGAGTGAGATAATACTCATCCAGTTGCAATAAAGTTGATTTAGGATATGAGTTAGTCCAAAATCTAAATTCTATCCATCAATATATAAATAACTATTTAGATTAAGGGCCTGGTTGGTTTGTTACCAAAATTTGCCTTCGCAAAGATTTGGCAAGCAAAAGTTGGGCAAAAATGTGTGTCAAAGATTTGGCAAGCTAAATGTGAGATATTAGCGAACTTTGGTAGCAAACCAAATGGTTGCCAAAGTCTTGGCTTACCCACATTTTGGTAACGAAATTTTGGCCATCAACCAACCAGGCCCTAAGAGCATAGAACTAGTACTACTAAATTCATCGTTAAAAACACTTCCTAGATATATTTCCTTCATTTGAATCAAGATATTTCCGCAGAAATCACTGCTTTAAGTACCACCTTGGAGACTTTGTCATTGTCCTAACGACTTACATTTGCAAATTGCAACTAGAGGTATTTGATTGAATAAATTTGGTAGCTTCAAGGAAGAGCCTAGAAATGCACTGAACCTGAGTGGTTCTAACCTATAAATTTGTGTTCATTTCAAGCCCATGTATTTTTGTCTGGGCACACTCAAACAAACAGTAGCTACATGTTATTGGAATACGTTTCCAAAATTTTAACAAACAGGACTCTATTATCATCCAAGGACAGGCTATGACTAACTACAAGTTAGATCAGCTAGAAGTCATGAAAGTAAACCATTATGGTGATTGATTCAGTACCTGCATTCCAAGATCCAGCAAATGAAGATTCGTCACAACAGCCCTTACAATCGTCTCCCTCATCGACGAGAACTCTTGCCGGTCCCATAGTGTCAGGATTGCAATAATGGCAGCTGAAGCCCACTCTGGCTTGCCTCCAGGGACATCTGCCAGCGCCAGCATATTGATCCCCACCTCAAACACAAGTGGTGGGTCAAGTGAACTAAGGAATGGCAGCAAGTGTGAGACAATGTCTGACACTCCTACCAATTTCTCCGCACTCGACTCCACACTATCAGCAATTGTAGTGTCCCCTGGCTTGGCAATCCGCCGCAGAGTGTTTACCACACCAGAAGCAACCATTTTCGCTGCGTGCACTAGAGGGTACACAGTAACTCGGAAGCTCTCCACAGGCATCACCATGGAGCGCGCAATCAGCATGTTGCGCCTTGACCAAATGAAATCAATGGCATCAGCCGCCCACTGGGCACGCACTGCAAGCGCACCTTCTCCATCAACAAGCTTGTCACCAGCTAACCGGCTCATGCGGCGCCCATCTAGCTCCTGGAACAGCCGTGCAAGGGCCTCAAACGCGCTGGCGGAAACCGCATCTGCAGAGTCCAGCGCAAGCTCGGGCAGGCGACCCCACCACGTGGTGGCGTGCGCCATGAGGGAGGGGTTTGTGGAGCACATGAGCGCGAGGTCATCGCGCGGGAGGAGCGAGGACAGAGACGTGACGGCGGCGAGGCGCAGCGACTCAGCGGGCGAGGAGAGCGCGCCAGCGATCTCGGCGTGGGCGGAGGAGAGGAGCGAGGGGAGAAGGTGGGAGGGCAGGGACGGGAACGAGGCGATGGAGGAGGCGGCGACGTCGGGGTCCGGGAAGGAGAGGTCGGTGCGGAGGGAGGAGAGGAGGAGCGGGTCGAGGAGATCCGGCGGCAGCGGGAGCGCGCGGAGGAGGTCAAGCGCCAGGCGCTTGCAGACGGCGGAGGAGGGCGCCGACAGGATCTCGGTGGCCGCGGTGCGGGCGAGCGCGGAGACGTCCCGCCCCGCGGCGCACTGCTGCAGCGCCTGCAGCAGCGCCGACGACTGCCGGAGCGCGTCCGAGGAGCGGAGGTCGGTGGTGATCTGCGCGATGAGGAGGTCCATCGCGCCCCCGAGGCGGAGGGGCTCCGGCGATCGCCGGAGCTGGGGCAGGGGGCGGTGGCTTAGATCTGAGGAAGACGAGCGAGTCTGAGAAGGACCGGGCTTCGCTTGGGAGAGTAGTGATGCGGGGGAGTGGGAATGGGTCGGACCGTTTCGGTGACTCTGGGCCGGTTAATAGGCCGGCTTGGGCTGAAAAGAAATTTCAAGGGTTAATTGGTGAAAAAAAAACATTTTCAACCCCTCAACTTTCACGCTCGTCCGATTTTCTCCTCTTGTTGGGATTCGACCTTGAAAACACAGTCCCTCTCTTACTCAACAATATAACCTTAGAATGATCGGTTTGGCTCAGTGAAAGCAGTCTTTAGAGTTGGAGCTTCATGGAGGAAATGCGGTCTTCGGAACTGGAGCTTCGTAGGAGGCATCTTCCACTTCGCGAAGTCGTTCGCAAAACACTAAGCTTATAAAGAAGAACCGCTAGCGGTAGCGAAGACGGGTGGTTGCCTTCGCTAGGATCTCCAAGTGATCTTCAATCGCAGGAGGTGTGATCTCAATTGGTGAAGGGGGAAGATAAGAAGACTAGGTATACAAAGTTGGCCAAGCCTTCACGAGACAGTAACCCAAGCAAATATAGATGAGATGTAATTGTGTGTAGGAATGACTTGGACATTATAATTGTTTCCATGAACGTATCATGATGATCAAGGACAAAATGGGAATCCACTTGCCGGTTTTTCTTCTTCTGTGGGTTGATTTCCTTGTGCTTCTAACTAATAGCCCTGAGTGGGTAGAATTGGAAGGGAAGGGGCTCTAGATACCCTTTGCATTTAGGTGTTGTTTGGCTGGCGGGATGAAGTGTGATGGGGTGGGATGATCCTCTTTTGTTGTTGTTTGGTTCAGGGGCAAGGTGGAGATAGGACCATCCCACTAGGGAATATACTTGGTAGATGTCGTGACTCCCGTCCCTGGTTTTTCTATGGACATAGTCGTCCTAACTGGGACGACCTTCGCGGGTGCACAGCAAATGAGCACGCGCGAGGTTCGCGGATTTTTATCTCCAACAGTCAACTCGCTTCACACCAGCGCATAAGTCAAGACCGGACGCACCAGCCCCGACCTGACGCTGCACCACCGCATCCGCTCGCGCGCCCCCCGCACTGCCTTCGCGCCAAGGCCTGACGCGCCTCCGTGAGACTTGACGCGCACGCCTGCGGAGTCCGATCGACTCTAGTAAGCATCCACCAGACGCGTCCGTTCACAAGCGACCGGACGCAGCCCCGAGTCCGGTCCTCTCTGTCCTTCTCCACGCGTTACATCAGCGTACGTCACAAGTGACCGAATGCACCCCTGCACGTCCGGTTCAGCACCTAGACTAACGTCCGATCCACTGAGCAAACGTAGGCTTCCGAGTCTGGTCACTGCCTAGGCAGCGTCCGGTCACCTCGGGAAGCCTCCTCCACTTGTCTAACTTCGCCACCCTTGATCGAATGTGCTAACCACCAAGTGTATCAACTCGTGCACGTGTGTTAGCATATTTTCACAAACATTTTCAAGGGTGTTAGCACTCACTAGAATCTAAATGCATATGCAAAGAGTTAGAACATCTAGTGGCACTTTGATAACCGTATTTCACGACGAGTTTCACCCCTCTTAATAGTATGGCTATCTATCCTAAATGTGATCACACTAAGTAAGTGTCTCGATCACCAAAACAAAGAGCTCCTATGAATTATACCTTTGCCTTGAGCCCATTTTGTTTTTCTCTTTCTTCTTTTCCAAGCCCGAGCACTTGATCATCACCATGGCCATCACCACCATCATGATCTTCATCGATTTGCTCCACCACTTGAAATGTGCTACCCTATCTCATGATCACTTAGAGCAAAAGGGTTAGCACCTAGGGTTTTATCAATTCACCAAAACTAAACTAGAGCATTTAATTGTCCCGTCCCATAAATCAGATACGGGACCGTCCCACTCTACCTAGCTTGACTCCCAACCGAACGCTACCTTAGAGTACTAGTATGACTACTGAAAGACGATAGCAGATACATCAACATTGAGGTCTCCCATGGCAGGGACCCTTCTACAGTTACAGCTATGCCTAATTTGATACTCATATCTCCGATATGTGAGTCCAACATCCCTGGCCTAAATATATGGCACGGGTGATTACATTAAGTCTTATTGAGAACTTCACTTTGCTTTGCAGCTGCTTTATCTTTGGCCTCCTGTTGTACATAGTAAGGAGCAGACATACATCACATATATAGACGTTGTGGTTTATGACAGAAAGAGCAAACAAATATAAATGGATACAAATTTGCATCTAGGATTGCATCATGCTAGGTAAAATTGACTAGGTATTACACTCTACCGGTACCAAATACTAGGTTTTTAATTAACAAAATCAATTACTATAAATATCGAAATAGCCGTGGATGGCGCTGCAGTTGCAAAAGGCAAAATTTCTATGCAATCTGTACAGGTCCTATTAGATGTTAGTGGCTTGTATGGTTTATAATTTGAACAATACATCACATGTGACTATCATTTTGCAAGAGAAAACTAGTAGTCCAATTAAACAAGAATGTCAGCACAGTTTGATTGGATAGTATCTCATCGGTATGTACCTCATGCTTGAATGAGTTTTAAACGCAGAGGGAGTAGCCAAAACATCTAGCTTAGACGAGAATACAAGACACTATCATGGCGCCAATGTCCCCCCATAACCATGTAAGGCAAGAGTAAGAGAACCTCAACCAATATCACCTACCCACCGAGCAACATGAACCATGCCTCTCCAATGAACACACCCTTTAGCGGCACTGCACCTAGAAACATGGGCCACGACAGGAGCGCGAAAGACATTGGACCAAAAGTTTGCAAGATAAGATACTCCGTAGGATAGTCGGCCCTGTAGCACACTACCCAAGCCTGCGAGCAACGACCAATCGCCAGCCAATGAAATGTCAAATGATCTCTTACTCTATATCCTATCTTATGGATATCCTACTTTGTTGGGTTATTGCAGGATGTATTTATTGGACAGGGAGGAATGACCCTTGTATTCGCGTATTATGGAGCAACCATTATTACTTGGATTGCCATCCTAAGGCACAATAGATTCTTAGGCTGCTCTAAAATTTCATCGGTGAGACATGTACGATCAAAATTACTTGTTTCCATGTTCTTTTTAAATTTCACATTAAGTTAGTTGTTGTTCTTGTTCTATGCACGTTGGTGTTTTTCATTACTTGTTTCATATAGGAGCAATGATGATGGTTGATCCAGTTCCATATTTAATATTTGGAAAGTTTAGTGTTAATTTTTTTGGTGGTTATATGATTACTAAACACAGTTAAATTAGGAACAAGATGCTAGTTAATTGCCGATGCATTGCAATTACTTAATCCTATCTAGTGTGGACATTCATTGTTATCTTTAACCAACTTTTTATCAGAGACGCATGAGTGAGGGGTAAGATTCTCCCTCCACCTTCCCCCCTCTTTCCCTTTTATACAGAATGTGGGAAGGGAGGTTTTTATTATTTTTCTTGGCGAGGCTTGTATTTTACAAGAGAACCTCTAGGAGCTACGAACGGGCCCTAAACCTTGTCTTACAAGCCCCTAACCTATGTAATTGGATCTTGTTCCCTAACACTAGATATATGCCTATACATCGCACTGGGGTCATGATTTTTAACTGAATCTCAGTAATTGGACGCAAAAGCGTGAGCTCCTTCGACTTCTTATCAGACACGGAAATGTATCTGAATTGGGTAGGACGAGGACGTGTGAGCACTTCGAGTAGAGGATGATTCATATTGGACGCGGACACGTAAGCACGGATTGAGATTTGGTATCACCGAGTAGATAATGACTTTACAGTCTTTTTAGGTGTATAGATATAATACACCCCCAACAACCGTTCAAAGGGGTGAGTGTGCGTGTGTTGTACTATGTAATCACAAAAAATAGCCCCTCAACTATTCGGTTTTGATCGAAAGTACAAGACCTAGTAGCTGAATAAAATTAAGTGTGACCTAATTACAACTCAGTCCTAACACAATGCCTAGAGGGGGGTGAATAGGTGTATCTAAAATTTTTTAAGTAATCTCAAAGTCAAATGTCAATGACAATCGAAAGTCCCAATAGTTTGGGTCGAAACTTCTGGAACCTGGAAGTTCTGATGCAAACAGCCGGGAGTTCCAGCACCTATGAGAATTGCACTACAAGTGCTAAAACAAACTTTGAGTGAAAGGTATCTTACAACCCCACTCTCTAGTGGTAAGGTGAAGTGTTGGGTTGCTTATTTGACGTCGGAAGGTCACCACTTCACAGATCGAAGTCCAAACCATAAGAGGAGAGTTGGGGAGGAAGACAAACCAACAAGAACAAATATAATAGCACAAATCACAACAACAACAACAACAACAACAAGCACGCGGGACACAAGAATTTATCCCATGGTTCTGCAACCCCACAAAGGAGCTCCTACGTCCTCATTGTTGAGGTGACCACAAAGGTCGGAGTCTCTTCCACCTCTTTACCTCTCTCAAAGCAACCACAAAGGTTACTTGAGCTTTCCACTAAGAAATCAAGGGTAATACAAACTTTCCAAGGCTCTTCCACAAGATGGAAGCTCTTGGGCAACGCCTAGCCGGCTAGGGTTCCAAGAACCCAAGAGTAATAGACGCAAATCCAACTGGCTTGATGAAGAAATCAAGTCCTCAAGCTTGCCAAAGTGATTCTCTCACTCAGTCCACTCTCCTTTCATTCAAAACCCTACGGGAATCGAAGATTGGAGCAAAGAAAAGAGGAGAGGGGTGCCTTGAATGCATGAGAGCTGTTTTGGACAAAGGTTGGTGAGCAATGAATGAGTGGTCACCAGTTAGAGGAAAGGAGAGAGTTATTTATACTCATAGGCAAATCCAACCGTTTAGATCTGAGTCGGAAGTTCTGACATAGATCGTCGGAACTTTTGGCCCTTCTACAAAACACTGT